AGAGGGAACCAAGAGAAAAGGAGGGTCCCAGTGGAGCAGAGTTCCAGGGCTGACTGCAGAGAGAAGAGGGCCAGGCAGGAGGGAGAGGACAGGAAGTGGGAAACTGCCAGGAGAGAAGCCTTGACACTTTGGGTGGCTGGAGGGACCACTGTCCAGCCTGCCAGGCCTGAGCGGGGGACTCTGAAGCACAGAGGTTCGGGAGCAGCCACAGAGGCTGGCTGGCTTCTGACAGCTGAAAAAGCAAGCAATTCTACTCAGTCCCCCAGATGCCTCCATCTTTGGTAGCTGGGTCAGGGCTAATTTCTACCCTGACCTTCGTCTCTCTGGTAAAGTCTTCCACTTCCAGAGTTGGGTCCCAGAGCCATCTGGTCTACCGGGGACTTGATGCCCACACCCACCATTAGTCTTGTAGCCCCATGGCTCTCATCTGGGGACATCCCAGGCCCCCCACTCCCTCGGGCCCCTGGCTCCTGCTGTGCGAGGCTTGTGGGCCAGAAGGAAGACAGTGCCCAGAAAAAGCATGCCACCGCAGGGTCCCCAACTCTGGAGCTGCCCCCACTGGCTGCAGACGCCACCTTCCCATCACCATGAGATCAGGGGGTCAATACTCCTGCAACCCCTCTGTCCTCCAGACAGTGCAGTACAGGTCAGCAAGAAGCCCACAGGAATAGCAAGAGACACAAAGCACCAAGCACAGTGCCTGGCACATAGTAAGAACTCAATCCAGTTCTGTGGCGTAAACGAGTTAAAAATGGACGTGCACCATCACAGAGTCTTGCCGAAAAGCAACTACATGGAGGAAATGAACATTTCTCAGCTCCTTGTTGCTATGTGCCAGGACGTGTACTACCTGCTTCCAAATATTAAACTTTCCAAGTAGAGTGAGACGGGAGATGTCATTGTCCTCATTTAACAGATCGACAACTGAGGCTCAGGGAGGTCAGGAACTGAATCAACCACAGAGCCACTAAACCGAAGGGTCTGGGCGGAAGCCCCCTCCCCGGGCGGAGGAGCACAGGGGTTTTCAGAGCCTGCCCTCAGGAGTCAACAGCAGAGGACTCACTGCCGTCACGGACTAGCGAGCGACCTCAGGCACATTACTAAACTTCTCTGCTTAGCTGCAAAATGGAGATAATATCGGCCTCACAAGGCTATTGGGAATATTCAAAACACAGAGTCCCGTCTGTCTATCCATCCTGTCGTCCCACCACTGTGTCCAGCTGTCCCGGGAGGGAGGGAGAACTGATCCTTCTGGAAGTCTTCAGGGCCGGAAGTTGCTGGAGCCTAGCTGAGGCTGAGCAGCCAAGGGAGGGGCCACCACAGGGCGTAGGTGGCTTTCATTTCCAAGTTTCCTGGGGTGAGCAGGGGGCAGCGGGCAGGCTGGGCGGGACGCTCAGAACAGCAGGTCAAGTGCCTTCTCGCTGGGAAACACTCCTGGAGAGCCCTCCTGGCCAGGACAGTCTCTATGGCACCAGTTAACGTGGTACTGACCACCGGGGACAGGTGGGGTGAACGGCATGGAGTCTGAGGCAGCGCAGCAGGGGAATGTGACTGTCCACGTCCAACAGCAGCTCCGAGTGGGTGGACAGGGGAACCAGATAGGATCGGAAGAGGACAAGGAGGGCAGCATACTTCATGTTTAGGGCCACAGCATTTGACAGCCCCCACACCCAGCCAGAATTCTGGTATAAGAATTATTGGCTAAAGGATGTGGGAAAGCCTATGCGTGAGGAAAAATTGTATTTAGACTGTTTTTTAAAAGGAATAAAAGTAAATGACAAGCATGGCTGCCATGCTTTATTGCCCAGGTCGGGCACTGCACAAGGGCATAATAATTACAGGAACGCCATTCACACTGCAGACGTTACAAATTCGAGCATTCATTATAGCCTCTTTCTGGTGAATATAAGTAAAGGACCTTGAGAAAGACATATCTTTTTCTAGTCCATAAAAGGAGTTGTACGAGTAAGCTGTGACCCTAATGACAAACGGTACATGATTATGTATAAATATCCAAAATTCAAAACCCTCTGAACCTGCCCCCGGTTCTGTATACCATGTTGATACCACTATAAATTAGAGATTAATGAAAATGCATGTTACTAATTGAACAAAACTGCCTGTCCCTGCTTCTCTTGTCACTAAACTTCAAGCTAGAAGGGGCCTGAGGTCAGCTAATCCCCTCAGTGTCAATGAGGGGTTAACCTGGGGCCCACAGAGCCTTCGTGTCTGTCCAGGCTGCTATAACAAAACACACAGATGGGGGGCTTCAACAACAGAAATTTATTTCTCCCAGTTCTGAAGACCCGAGGTCCAAGGCCAGGGTCCTGGAGGGTTCCATTCCTGGTGAGGCCTCTTTCGGGACTGGCTGTGCACAGCCATCTTCTCCCGGTGTCTTTCACACAGCCGAGAGAGCAAACCCTCCGGTCTCTTCTGTTGGGGACACACATCCTGACATGGGGCTCCACCCTCATGACCTCATCTAAACCCAAGCGCCCCCGTAAGACCAACACATTGGGGGTTAGGGCTTCAGCGTGACACAGCATCCAGTCACTAACATACCTAAGGTCAGCAGGAGCCCACACCTTGCCCATCTGGGCACCCGGCCTGCAGGCGTCACACTGGCCACCAACTGGCAGGTCCTCAACAGGGCTGGGAGAAAAGCTGCTTCCCCAGCTTCCCACCAAGGCCTCCAGATCAGCCGCCTGGTTACTGGGGTGCCCACACCTTGCCAGGAGCTGGGCTCACAGCTTCAAACTGCGGCCTGTGAACACCCACCGATACTGGGGCATCAGAAGGGACTGGGCATAAATAAGACATCATTTCCCAACTTTCTGGCAAAGTAGTTTTGACCGTGATTCTAGCACCAGAATGACTGCCATGCTCCAGGACAGGATTCATGGCAAAGCTCCCCACAAGAAGCTCAGGGGATGTCAGACCCCACCCTGTCCTTCCAAAGGCCCACAAGAAAGTCAGCTCCCTGAGTACGACCCAGAGCCATGCATGTGCCCCCCAGGACACCTGCTAGGCTTCACCGGGACACCAAGCTGGCTTCCTTCAAAGACCATTTCCTTCTGTCCTTGTTTTATGGAGGGAAATCCGAAGCCCAGCGGACATGTGAGCAAAGCCAAGAGCCAGAGGTTTTGAAACAGAGACGAGGTGGAAATCTCAGCCCTCCGGATTGCTGCTCTGGACCCAGGTCTGCAGCCTGAAGATCACTGACAGAGAAAGACCCCTGAGCTCCTGAGCTCCCATGGAGAATGGAGAGAGAGACAGGGAAGCAGGGGGCAGAGAGAACACAGGGGCCAGAAGCTGGAGCACAGCGAGGGGTGGAGGGAGCAGAGGGCAGAGGAAAGGAGGTGCTCAGAACTCAGGAAAAGTGAGGAGGAAGGAGGCGGGCTGGGGCCAGGTGCCCAACTTCCCTGTAACCAGGAAAATGCAAACAATGAGGTGCAGTCACTGCCCTGCGGAACCTGGAGCAAGTTATGATGAGCAGAAATAGAGTGCCCATGCCGGTGCATGGTGAGCGGCCGGCGAGGGGCACACAGGCCCCACACTGGGACTTACTAAAGACACGCAGCCCTGCACCCAGCTGCTCCCTCCTGGGGACCAACTCTTGCAAAAGTCTTGCACATGGGACCCCGGAAGGAAGCACGAGGGTGATCACAGCACAGCAGCCCGAACCTGGAAACAGTGCAGATGTGCACCAGGGACACGGAGCCGTATGCCGTGGTGTGCTCCTGTTGTGGAACATGACGCAGCAATAAAAACCAGCTACTGCCACACCAGGACACCGTGGATGCCCATGGCAAGAAGCCGGACCCAAAGGACCACAGCCAAGGACCCCGCTTAGGTGAAGTTCACGGAAGGCAAAATGAGCCTGAGTGCTTGGGCTTGCATACATGGAGAGAAACGTACGGAAAGTCAAGGAGGGATTAGGAAAGTGAGCCAGCCTAGGGAGGAGGACAAGGATGGGGCGCGGGTACATGGGGCGGCTCTGGGATCTGCCGGGGTGTCTGTGTCTTGGCCTGGGTGGTGGCCACAGTCACTTCATAATGATTCCTTTAGCCACCCACGAACCTCATGCGGCTGGTTCTCTGCCTGCAAGGATGGAGGCAATGGGCGGCATGGTGGCCTTCGGAGGCAGCCTCTCGAGAGCACAGCCTGACGTCTCCCTGTCCCTCACCCTCCATGCCTTTCTCCCTTCCTCAGATCTGCAGCCAGGCGCCAGGGTGGAATGGAGCCAATCCTGGGAGTCCCTGGGGTGGAGCAATGTGGGGCTTCCTGGCTCAGCATGGAACTAACCATGGGTCCCTTGTGTCCCCGCCCGGGCCAGGCACCCATCTGCCTGCCAGCCTCCCTCACCGAGGCACTGACCGCCCACAGCCCGATCCTCCCCTCAGGGTCCTGAGGAAGCATCAGCCCTGCCGGGTCCCCCGCCAACGTGGCCTGGTCCCAGAGAGGTGGCTGACTGAAACCCACTGTGGCAAGGCACGGGGTAATCACAGCGTGGACAGTAAGATCCTCTCTGCATGTGGGCTAACACACGTCACTCTCCTTCCTGTCTCTGCCAGCACAGAAGCTCTGAGGCAGGCTTTACTGAGCCCCCACTTCACACTGGGAAACTGAGGCTCAGAGAGAGCCCCTCCAAGGCCTGCAGCTTAGCAGATACGTCACCCCCAAGCCTGGGCCCCCTCGGCACTCCCAGGGCCGCAAATGGAGAGCACCGCCCACTGCCAGAGGCCGTGCCCTGGGAAGAGGGCAGCCCAGGGCAGCCTGACTCCTCAGCTTGCAGCACCCAGAGAGCGACACGTCCAAGTTTTTCCTTCAGAGCTGGCAGGTGAAGCCCAGAGAGGGGCGGCGGCTCCCCAGTCCCACAGCCTCGCCATCTTGACTTGATGACTTTCCTCTCACGGGACCCTCTGTGCCTGCTCCAGGTCCGGCCTCTGTCCCTCCCTCCCTCCCCCGCCCCAACAGCTGTGCTCCTGTGTCGCCCTCACCTCGCTGTCCAGAGGCCAAACCCCTGTCTCCAGAGGAAGCCAGGATCCTCAGTCTCTCCGGAGACAATGCTGCCGCCGGGTCCCGGGGGGCGAGGACAGGACCCTCCACCTGGCCTGCCCTGGCCCCTGCCTGGCCGCTCGGCCTCCTGGCCGGCAGGTGCTGGGCAGCCACAGTGGTGACTGGCACACTCCTACTCCTGCAAGGCTGCCTTGAATAAACACAGCTGCATAGCAACCGCTCTCGGAAGGAGCCGGCTCCCTGTGTGTGGAGAGGCGAGCACGAGGCTTTTCCCCTTGGTGGCCTTTCCCCCGTGGCTGCCCCCGGGCTCTGGGCACTCCCATGTGGCTGACTTGGCACCCGGGGCCGGGGCCAGCGCAGGGAGCACTGGGCACAGGGTGTGACCACAGCCAGGAAGTACAGACGGGCTGGGGGCAGGGGGTAAGGGCAAGTGAAACCCAATTGGGTTTTGTTTTTTGTTTTTGAGACAAGGTCTCACCATATGGTTCAGGCTGGCCTTGAACTCACAGTGATTCCCCTGCCTCAGCCTCCCACGTGCTGGGATTACAGGTGTGCACCGCCATGCCCACCATGAGCCCCAATTAGGAGCCCTCTGGGCCCCGTGCAGTTCTGCTCCCAGACTGCTTCTAGAGCAGAAAGGTGGGCAGGCTGAGCAGCCAGGCAGGGCCGGGTCCAACACGATGCCCTCTGGCCAGCTCCTACCCTTTCTCAGCTTCTGTTTCCTCATCTTTAAAATGGGTACAATCATAACTGACTACACACAGTTGCTGTCAGCCTTAAAGGGGTCTGTGGAACAGCCTTGTGATTTGTCCAGCACAAAGCTCGCTAGAAGAAAACCTCTTCCCCAGCCGGACTCATCTGCCCAGCTTTTGGAAAACATGAAGCCTGGCAAAAATATTCTTCAAGAATGAAAATCAAATGAAGATATTCCTAGATGAAGGAAACAGAATTGTCACCATTAGACCTAGCCCAAAGAAATGAGTGGGGAAAGTTCTTGTAACAGAAAGGGGGGGCGGGGAGAAAGAGAAATAAAGCACGAGAAAGGACAAGGCAATTAAAGTATTGGTCAATACAATAGGCTACTCTTCCCTGGAACAGGGTAGGATGTGGAGTGAAGCAGGGCCCCAGAGGCTTGGTAAACCCCAGGCACAACCCCTACAACTGGACCCCACCAAGGGACAAAGGAGCACAGATGAGGCGTTTTGAGCCACACTAGACACTAGGCCAAGTAGCCCTTCATCCACCCTGCTGCGCCCCTTCATGTGCGGAGCAAGGCCCTTACTGCAGCAGGCCTGTGTGGGAGGCTTGTGTGACATTAAACTAACAGATTTCTAATGAGATTCTGTGTCTACTCAAAGACCCACGGGCTGAGGAAAATGCAATTCATGAAACAGAAAGCCTGACAAATCCTGCTCACTGGCCTGAAAAACCGATTTGATCCATGTGAACATAAATCACACACTTGGTGTAAACCTTAAAGAACCTTTCTCATCACATAAGAGTTGCCACCCCAGGAGAAAATAATAGGCAGGGACCAACATAGCCCATCCTGACCTGGGCTGTCAGGAAGGCAGATCTGCTCCTTGCCAACACAGGGAAGGCAGGCTGTCAGAACCACAGCCGGCTAGAGAAGGATGGGGTGCTGAGGGCCCCTGCCAGGTGTAAGCACTGGTGAAGACACTGAGACCAGAGGCTGCCATTCAGCCACTTAGAGCTCAGCGCCTGAGGCACTGGGCTTGGCCAAGTGGCTCCCAGGGCTAAGACTAGCAGGAGGACCAACTTCTTAACAGGCGCTAACAGCAGGCTTCTGCTGGAGGCAGTGACTTCTCCATCCTTGGAAGAGTTCATGAAGCCGGAGGGCACCCTTCTAAGATGCTGCTGGGGGTCCAATCTCCTCCCAACTTCTCATCGCTCAAACCTAGGGAAAACCCTTGCAGCTGAGGAATGTGGGAGTAGGGGGAAACGGAAGACCCATTTCCTTGGATTCCAGTTGATCCTACGGCTCCAGCCACAGACTGGGATCATGACCTGCCCCAGGACCAGTGAAACTCTGCAGCCCGGTCATTCCCAATTGTGTTCTGTGGAACAAATCTGAAAGCAAAAGATAAGAGGTTCTATGGTAAGGATAATTTGGGAAATACGAGCTTAACTAATGCTGCACTAGTGCCAACTCCACCGTGTTTCAGGGCCTTTGACATTGGCTAAGTATTTCGATACTCCAACAGGGGACAGTGTGAAGCAATTTCCAAATCTGTATGACTGTAGAGGCCTATCTGTTCACAGAGCATTTCTTAAGACCAGAGTTTTAAGGAACACATTGCAAAATTCTTGCTCTAAGCCATTTGAAATTTCCAAAGCAACTAGCCCAGAACTTGAGCACAACCAAATAACAAATGTAGAAAAAGGTATCCACATCAGTCATGTTCTCGCTCTCTCTGTTTCAGACATCCTCATTACTTCCCCATATATAAGGCATCAGAAGCAAAAGGGAAAGAAAACCAGTCAGAAAAAAATACCTCAAAGAAAACATCAACCCAGCTTCCAAGTCAAAAGAGAGAGTCTGTCTTCTCACCACAAGAAAGAAAGTTGACTGGGGACCCCACACCCATCCCTCCAACCCCTTCTCTAGAAGCTATAGACGACCATTCATTACACACAGGCCTCTCCAAGCATCCCCGGCCCACTGGAATGTGTCTGACAGACACTCCGGAATCTTCCGGCCCTTACCCGAGAAGCCAGCTTCCCAGGTCTGCAGTCCGGAGCTTGCTGTCCCAGGCAGGCTCACAGGCAGGCTCAAGCCATCAGCCGGGGCTCCTTGGAGGGAGAGGGAGAGGGAGAGGGAGACAACGCACACATCGTCCTCAAAGAGACCGGGCCAGGGCTAGCCGGAGGGAGAGCTGGGCCTAATGGTTTCTGGGCCCGGGCTCCATTCGGTGTGAATGGAAAGAAGAGACTCTTGTTTCTTACTGTTCGCCTGGGTGACAGTTACCATGGATATAAATCAATTTTTGGAGCCCTTCAGTCGCCAGCTGAATATAAAGAGCATGCTCTCTTGGAGCTGCAGGCAAGCAGGCAGAGGCACACCGGGGACAGGGGTGGGATGACGAAAGCTCAGGTGTGGATGTGCAGTGGTCACAGTCAGCCTCCTGGCTCTGGGGAGGCCTCCCAAGGTTCCTAACACAGCACGCTCTGGAGCAAGCAAAAGCGATTTGACCTAGGTAGGTAGTGCCTAACTCCCCTGTGCTCACGCCAACATGCAGGACCCCTGGAACTCTGAGGACAGTCCCCAGAATGCTCAAAGAAAGTATCCCCAAACCGGCACTAAGAGTGCCTCCTATTGGCCTGCTGTGGTTATAGCCATCAAGACTAGCGCTTCCTGCTCCCCAGTCTGACCCCTCAGGTACTACTAGCTCATTTATCCTCACGATAAACCTTGGGGTGCTCACTCCTATAATCCCCACTTTGTAGACAGGAAGCTGAGGCCCAGAAAGGTCACTCAACTAGTGACTCAACCAGTGATCCTGGCTGGGCCAGGATTAAAACCCAGCAGGGCCAGTTCGGTAGCAGTCTCATACGTGGTCAGGACTTCCAGGGTCCAAACCGAGCTCCAATCCCCAGACCTCATGCAAGTCATTACACTTCTCTGAAGCCTGTTTCTCACCTCTGAAATGGGAATGAAAAAGCACCCGCCTATATCCCAGGGTCTGTTAGGAGAATCATGCAAAAGGTAACTCAAATGTAGGCAAAGGAAGTTAGCATTCATTAAGTACCCACTGTGCGCTCTGGCTGCTACATTGTTCTGTATAATTCTGCAGAAGAGGCAGGGACCTCGGAGGAAAGGCAAATGTCAGAGACTCCAAGTGAGGAAGCCCAAGTCTGGATTCCAAAGGAAGGCTGTTTGGGTCCAAAATATTTGTTGTTTTGTTGCTGTTTCAACAACTGGAGCCAGAAGGCAATGTGTAGACAGTCACAGGGCTGGAGCCCTGGCTCGGTGTGGCATGGAGAAGGACTGACCACTGGGGTGATGGCAATGGGGAGACAGCTGTGAACCGAGGCTGCTGCTGAACAGGAGAAGGCTAAGGACAGTGGTGGAGCCCGGCCTCTAGAGCCGGGCCTTTTGGGAGATTTAGGAGTGCTCACAGGCATCAGTACCACATTTCGAACTATCTGCGATTTCAGCCTATCATCCTAGGCTGGCTTCTCTTTCTTCCAAATGGTGTTCCAAGTTTAAGTGCTCGGTCCAGGACAAAAATCTTCTGATGGCTAATTTAGTTGCTTTTTCATTACATGCCTATCACTATTCCTTCTTCGAGGGTCCAATTCAACCTTGACGACCACCAGTGAGTCAGGCTCTACATGGTAACTTCTCCATTGCTTAGTATCTGATAAGCAATGGTATCTGCCAGAGTATTGGGAAACTACTCTGCTCTCTGCTCTACTTGGTTCCTTCTGTTGTCCAGAACCTTCTTGACCGTGTCCATTAGGCCATGTATATGTGCTATGTTGTTGAGTACAGCAGCACCCGGGATCTGGAAGGGAGCCTGGAGGACTCGCTGCTGAACTCCCCTGCAACGCTCCTCTGTTTCCTTCTGGATATTGCAAACAACCTCTTCCATCAGCCCTATTCCATCATCTGCTATTCCTTTCCAGAACATCAAAGTGTCCTGTGAAATTACCTCAGAGTCTTCTGCTCAGAATCATTTTTCCTGAGCATGATTCCACCCAAACAATTGTTCTCTTCCAGCCCTTCAGAGTGGACCTGCTAGCCCGCTGAACAAAATGCTTGGGGCTGATCAGCTGATCGTTGAACTTGACACATCTCACATTTATTCCTGGACACACAAACTTCTCCCAGAGGAGGATGGCTTCACTCTCCCCGCAAGTTATGGGGTAAGCAATTTCCATATCCTCATTTGCTTCTATAACACTTGTATCAATTCCTTCTTCAATTTTGTGTATCATGTGAGTTTCTGTTGCTAGAACTGCCATGTTGTTCTCCGACCTGGGTTCATCAATCCCTTGTTTCACAGGCTGTAACTCCAAGATGACTGGGTTTCAGTGAAGTCAGGGTTGTCCCCTTCATTTCCTTCAGTGGGCACCACAACTATAGCTCCCACAAACACTCACTTATGCATTACCCATCTTTCACTGAAGTCAGATCGCTGGGGCTGCCTGCGTGGGTCAGCACTGTCTTTGTGTTC